GGCGTTGCGCAATGTCGTTTCGATATGTGTTTTCTTTCTCGAATGATACATTTTTTGTTGAAAAAAGAAACACAAGTAACGCAATGCCATTGAAAAAAAAATTTATCGCGAGTATTGGCAGAACAAATCAAAATATTGCGTAAAAATATATTTCAAACGCAGGAAGCTGTTGAAAATATGGACCAAAATACAAATTGCTCTGAGCAATTTGATGCGGTGTAAAATAAAGGATATTTTGTATTTCCAAATATTTATGTCAGATGCACGCATTTGAAATATTGCATGCTCCAGATATGCGTACGCGAAGTATGTTTTGTATATTATTATGGTTATAAGATTATGGTTAAAGATTATACGCGGTGAATTTTTAAAACTTAGCTCGTTCACATTTTACGTCTCGTATTGCTCCGCCTCGCTCGTTTAAAAATGCAAATACAAGGATTTTGCATTCCGACCGACGTTGCACATTGCAATGCTTGTTCAATCGCACGCTGACCTTAATCCCTTAACGTTAGTGTCCTTTCGCCGAGACGCGGAGAAAGAAATAACGAACAAAATGTTTATTATATATCTATATCAGCGGGAGTAAGATGTCAAGAAACTCATAAGGTACAACGACTAATGCTGAATTCAAATTGGACTCAATTGGAGTGATATAACATAATGCATTCTTTTTACAATATATCCCGATAGAATTTTAAATGGGAAACTAGTTTCAAATTCAAACCTTTTTCAGCACATTAACATCTTTCTAATAGGATGTCTGCATATCGAGCATCAAATTATGTGCCCATGTCTCGTAAATCGTATATGTGTGTAAGTCGCATTTAATCAGTAAAACAACAATTTCATTGAAGTTCGGCCGTCACACTAATATTCCAGTCGGTTTTGAAATAAGAATCGACTATAAATATATATATACGGGTCTTTATTTCCCATCAGGCTTTCAATTTTTGTATTCCTGGCTTTAGACGGATTTCAGACGGTTTCAATACTCGTGTGTTTCTTGGTTTCTACAAGAATCAGTGTAACATCTTGATAATTTTAATTATCGATACAGCCGAATGATTTTCATACTTATGCGCGACAACGAAATGCGACAATGTGCAGTTCGAAGCATTTTACTATGAGCAGCACGGCGAAACTAAATTACCGTCGAAGTAACATCATTTCAATTTCCGCGCCCTGGCGACGCATTTACAATTAATTTACATGCTTACGTGTGATGTGCGTACAGTTTACAATTGATACACAATAACTTATTAGTAAACTTAGATTATCGATTTAGAGCATATGTGTACATCCCCCTCTCTCCCCCTTTCTTTCTCTATCTCTATCTCTATCTATCTTTAGCTTTCTCACTTAGGGCAGCGAAGAAAGCAGAACCGCAATATTGCCGGTAACTATTGATTGCCGTTTGTCATTGAGATATTGTTGCCTTGTTTGAGGAGAAGGATCAAGCAGAGCATGTATGTACCTTATCAATTCGAGGCCCCGCGCACTGAAAAGGTGCACGCGATATTTATTTTTATAATGCTGTATATATGTACACACACACACACACACACA